CAAAGAAGTTGGAGCTGAGAGGGTCGGTATCAGATTAAGTCCATGGAGTCCGTTTCAAGGTGCGTATTGTCTCTATTCCTCATTTTATGCTGGACCAACATTTATGCAGACATGGGCCTCCCTGATCCAAAACCACAATTCTCCTACCTCGTAAACGAACTCGAGAAGTACGACCTCGCCTACCTCCACGTCGTCGAGCCACGTATCAGCGCAGGCACTGATGTGGACGCGCCATTACATAGTAACAACGATTTCCTGCGCGAGATATGGTGCAAGGAGGGCAAGAACAGGGTATTTATCAGTGCGGGTGGGTACACACGACAGACCGCAATCGAGACAGCACAGGAGCACGGGGACATGATAGCATTTGGCAGGTTGTACATTCCAAATGTAAGTCTTTTGTCCATGTTTGATCTTCTTCGTCCATTGTCTGTGCCCAAGTGTGCTGACAACTTTCTCTTCCTGCGCCTGGGTCGATCTTTTCTATATTCTATCTCTATCGCTAACTACTCTCCACGCTCTTCCAATAGCCTGACCTCCCTGCGCGACTTATACACGACCTACCGCTTGCTAAGCCCGACCGTGCAACATTCTACCTTGCTGGCGATGTCACTGAGAAGGGATACACTGATTTTCTAGCGGCAGACGTACAGGCAGAACAGAAGCCATGAATGTAATTTTTTGATGACCAACATAGTGGAGGTGAGCATCTCTAAACAATAACCAAGATCAGGAGGTACGTTGTGAGATCTTTGATTCCATAGAGGAGACGTGTTGAACTTCACAGTTTTCAAATATTTTTATAAATGAGTGCATAAGCTTACTAGCCTAGTACCTATCTGATGAACTTGGGCTACCAAGGATGCGATGCCACTTAGTTTCAGGCAGTTGTACCACCATTCCGCTTCATCAAATGTAGTTCGGCTGCGGTGGGGCACTTCTTTAGTTAGATCGAAGTGTGTATTGTTATCATTTCACCTCACAATGTCCCTTGAGAGACGATATCAGACAAACTGTTGACCGATCGCTGGACCTGGTCATTGTTGTTCTGTTCGATGCAGCATATATCTATATCACGCCACACGCAGCATCACGACATTACGAAACTAGAGATAGACGGTCAGTGGCATTTGAAGTTGAAGGAGTGGGACGTGTCGGCAAGGACTTAACCAGCTTGTCTTCGGAGGTGATCAGTAGGTCTTGAAGACCATCTCTGGACCATGCCTCCGCCTGAGTTCCGTAATGGGAAATGCAATATACGATAGCTGCAGTCTGGAGTGTGTGAAACGAGGTGCACTGAGGTTGTCAAAGAGGATATACAGGATATACAGTTTTCGAAGTCGACTCCACTGACACAGTATTTCGCAGCATGGAGACAGACATTTTCATCTCATCTTCGGGAAAAGATGACATCAATACTTTTCGTGGCAAATATTTCAAGTTTCTAGACTGCCTGTCGCTGTCGCAAGAAAGAATACAGTCGCATTGGACAGGGTGGCCCATCTGATGTAAGTAGGATAGCTGGTAGGTACATACGCATGCGAGAATGAGGTGCAATGTAGGTCATTTTCACTGGACTCTACCGCACAGGAACCACCTGGCGAGGACTGTCAAGCACTTTGTCTCCGGAACAAGTTCAGCATCTAGTGGCGAATGGTCGCCAGTCATTGCAGAAGCATTATTTGTTGTGGTCCGCATGCTTGCTGAGGCTGCTCCAGTAGTAATATTGGACATCCCCAGTGCGCCGGCGTTAGTCCTTGGGACACCAGCATTAGATGTGTGGGCCTTTTTGCGAGGAGGATGTGATGGCCGTGCTAAATGCCTTTTTCCACTAATAGCATTTGCATTGCGCTACAGGTGAATCAATGAATAACAGAGGGATATAAGATCATCAGAGAAGACATACATATTTACCCCGTGTGGCGAAGATATCCACAACAGCGATCTTACGAGTGCGTGGAGTAGGACTCTGAGAAGTAGAGGAGCGAAATGAGAGACGATTGATGAGTTGTTTCATGCGGGAACCTTCGGCATGACGCTGTGATGTTGTTGGAACAGTGCGAGTGTTGCGTTGAGTTTGGGAGCGCATGTCAAACTGGAAGCAGGGTAAGATGAGCAGGCTGTGATGAATCTACTACATGAAGTCTTACATCATCGAAAAAGCCCCGAGGGATTCCAGCACGTTTTGGTCGAGACTTTCCAGTAGCAGTGATGTCAGTGACAGTGTAGAAGGACAAGTGTGAAAGCGTACATCTGGTTTGGAAGACCGAGTGCGGTGCCGATCCTGTATGTCACCAGAAGTCAGTATATATGCGGGTGTGTCTGAGAAATCTAGAAACCTTGTGCACGGACTGTATGATAGGTTAGTATGAAACATAGCACAACATGAGAATTTGCTCGCCTGCTTAAATTCTTCTGACTCAGCCCGATCAACCTCCCATATGCGAACGAGTCTATCAACACAACCAGTCGCGATGAACTGGCTGTCCTCGGAAAAAGTGACGCAATACAGTGCATCAGGGTATTCAAGTGGCTCGCCAAAAGGTTCCAATGTGGTCAGGTCGAAGAATCGTGTTGTTTTGTCGCTTGACGCAGTGGCGAATTTCGTGCCATCAGGAGCAATGGCCAATGACTGGAGAAGATCAGTGTGCACATCAAATTGTTTGATGATTTCCCCAGTGGCAGCGTGTGAGATTCGAATGTCGTTGAAATTCCCACTGATGAGATGGAGACCATCTAGAGTGAACATGACCAGCCATGCCCGCTGTTCTATCTTCAGTAATTCTTCTCCGCTCGTTGTGTCCCATATGATAATATGTGTTTCGGCGCCTGCTGCTAGTTTACTCCCATCAGGAGAGTATGCCACCGAGTGTGCCTCACCGCCCATTTGGAATGGTCCAAGGGTTATATTGCCTGTCTCCCTCTGCCACACGCAGACTGTTTTATCGTATGATGCACTTGCAAATGTTTTGCTGTCTGGCGCAAACACAACGCTCCAGACGTCCCTCCTATGTCCCTTGCACGTGTCTGAGACCGGCACGCTCAGGCTTTTCGTTGTAGGAACCTCCCATACCAGGATGCTTCCATCCCTTGAGCCACTAACAATCCAGCGCCCATCGGGAGATACTGCAACCCTCAAGACATAGTCACTATGACCCAATAAGGGCTTCCCCACTTGTTGTCCTGTGTCCAGGTTCCATAGCCGAAGACTTTTGTCGTCAGAGCAGGTGACGAGGAGACGGGTACCAGGGATGAAAGCAATGCCTCTCACCCAGTCTTCATGACCCTTGAGCATTATTTCAGCCTGAAGTGCCTTCTTTCGAGCAAGAGGTGTGAGAGCTTGTGGAGATACGGCGTGATTTGACATTGGATCTAATTTTCGTTATCGATGAGCAGGAATATGGGACGGGAGGGGATCAGATACTTACATGCGCTATAATGGCAGGTTGGTGGGGAGTGATAAGGAATTGTGCCACTTCATCTTATCGCAGTGGCGCAAGGCGCCTATCGTTTCGGGAAAATGACCAGAATACAACGATAAAGTTGTTGGTAACTGACACTCAAGCTGCCCGCAGAGATGTTGCGCAGGACATACCATGGGATAATGCCCTTGTGAAGAGCAGGGTACGATTCTCGTTAGGTCAAGTACTGATGATGTTCATGCTGGGAAGGACAACTTTGAATAATTTTCGTCTGTCATAAGCACTTCTAGTGGGAACCGCAATCCCATGTCCTCTCGAACGAAGATAAACTCTCGTCTGTATCTTCCCACTTTATAACACCTGCTCTATTCTGGCCCCATATGCCTTTACTGACCCAGAAATAAAACCATACCTTGCAAGTTTTGCTGACGCTGCAACTTGAAGGAACTCCAATACTGGCAACATAGAAATCAGTACAAACATACTTATCCTTAGTTGAGAACCCCTGAACGCTGGCCATATCTTCCACGTCTGCTAAGATCAAAAGGCGTCAACAATAAAGATCCGAAAGATGGTCAGAGGCCATACCAAGCTGGTCCGAGGCGTTGCACACCGGGGCCCTGCCCGGTAGGTAGTGAATCATCATATGTTCGAGAGACAGCTCACTTCAACTATGGGACCTGGGGAGATGTATACGTGCGTGGGCACTGGAATATTGTGCTTGACGCTCTATTCAGATGGCCTCAGCGCAGCCCAACCTCCTTGCAAGCGCAAGTGCAGTCCGCTAGCTCCACCCTGTTGTGCTTTTCGCCCCCCGGCACACCAAAGGGAGTTACACGGCAAGGTGGGCGGAGCTCTGGGGCACATGAGCGCAGTGCGCTAGCTCTGCCTTGTTATGCTTTTCGCCCCCCGGCACACCAAAGGGAGTTACACGGCAAAGTGAGCAGAGCTCTGAGGAGCGGCGCAGCAGCCAAAGTGCGCAATTGGTACTAAGAGCGCGTGGATTTAAGAATATGAATAGCGGTGGACAAAAACTTAGGACATGGATGCGACAAGGGAAAAGTCACGGTGTGAATGGCGGATATGAAACGAAAGAAAGGTGCCGGGTTGCCGTGACGATTCAGAATTATGTAAAATCTGGGACGGGCTGATAATGATCGCACAAAATTTCCTTTTCACTCCATCATATTTCAGTTCTATCTAAGGTCGCTACATAACTGTGCTTCAAACCAGTAGTTTGTTGGCCCCATGTACCATGGTCCATTCCGCTTCATCAAATGTAGTAGTCCGGCTGCGGTGGGACACTTCTTTAGTTAGATCGAAGTGTGTATTGCTATTATTTCACCTCACAATTCCCCTTGAGCGATGATACCAGACAATTGAGCTGTATGAAGTTGACCGATCGTTGGACCTGGCCATTGTTGTTCTGTTCGATGCAACACGCAGCATCACGACATTATGAAACTAAAGATAGACGGTCAATTGCATCTGGAGTTGAAGAGAGACAGAATTCGGAGATGTATATGTTTACATCGTGAATCGTGCAAAATGATCTAGTGTAGCATTGGCAATCTTAGTGCTTGGAGATACACTGCAAAACTACAATATCTCTAGCGCCCTAATGTCCATCGTGTCGTCAATAGAAGCCATGTCCTTGACCTTGGCAATGATAAGGTGGTCCGAAGCAACTCTCTTATACTCCCCACCACGCTGTTGCGCTAGCAAAAGCGCACCAAAAGGTTGTCCAAGGCGAACAACCAACCTCAACTCTCGCAAGCGAGCCTCCGAATCAGCTAGCTTAGAGTCTACAAGAGAACCACGGACAGATCTGTCTGTTCGAGAGACAGGCTCAGTCCAATCGTCCACATCCTGTGCATCATCTGCAAAATCAGGCTCCGCAAAGTCAGGCAGCCCAAGATCATGACGGTTCCATGGACGGACAAGCAAAAATGTCTGCTGAGTGGGCCGTGTCGGCGAGAACTGAATCAACTTGTCTTCGGAGGTGATTAGTAGGCCTTGAAGACCATCTGCCTTGATGTCATAAGTGAAATATGTCTCCGGGTCTGGACCACGTTTCCGCCTAAGTTCAGTGATTGGAAATACGATGCAAGGTAGCTGCAGTCTGGAGTGTGCGAAACGAGGAGCACTGAGGTTGTCAAGGAGGATATACAATTTCGAAGTCAACTCCGCTGACACAGTGTTTCGCAGCATGGAGACAGACATGTTCATCTCATCTTCGGGCAAAGATGACAACATACATGGCGGAGCTTTGTATGATGTAATGTCAGCTGGGAGACAGCTATTGAACTCGGATGCTTTTCCGATCCAGTCAAGGGGAGTGATATCGCCTGAATGCGCAATAATCTCCTGCAAGAGTCGTCCGAGCGCGTTTTGTCTCTTCTCGCCGTAGATCACAGGGAGATGGACGTGGAAGATGCCAAATAGTGAATACGCGATGTCTTCTTGTAAAGTCGTGACACGGCTGGATGCCCATCTAAGTTTCTCTCGGGCGCCTCTCGTGCCCGGGCGGAAGGCGACGAGGGCTTGTGCATCTATACCTGTTGAATCCTCCAACTCCTGCATGATAGCGACAGACGTCTTGTGATTGGGAGAGCGATCATTGAGATACAAGGTCCAATCTTCTCGATAAAAGCGAACAGTGTGAGGAGCAAGGAATTCCTGCACAGTCCACCCCCGAGTGTTCCAAGTGCTATTTGCGAGTGCCCCGGGTTCCGACCAAGGCAGAACATCTGCCAGGTAGATAATTGTGAGCGCTGAGTGGCGGTACCAGACAAACATGGAGTTGACTGATTCTTGAAGTTCAAAATTGTTGCTCTGGTCGATGCAACATGTATCGCTCCACGCCCAGCGATACCCCGCGTCACGAGCGGTTTTGCAGAAGGTTTGCAGTTTTGCTATGGTTCCGAATGGCATTATGGTGTACACGTCCTTGTCCTGAATGTCGTGCAGCCGTGGCTCCTTATTCTCCCACCTATGCGATAACATTACCCAACTGAAATATTCCGTGACTATGGCCTTGATGAGCTCCGTTTGGAGGGTTGCATGCGCCATCAATGATGATAAGACTTCTTTGTATTTTTCGCTTTTAATGAAGGTGTTGATTTGTGTTTGTCTATCACACAAACGCCCAGTGAAGGTGTTGATGAGACGAAGTGGGGCATTTTCTAGTTGAATGTGGATAGCTCTTTGAATGGCGTCATGTGCTTCAGATGGACTGACATATTGCTGACGCAACTCTGGGGAATGGATTAGCCATCTTCTATTCGACGCAAGGTACGCGGTGCTTACCTCGTATCTCCGGGTCAATCGCATTGTCCAACTTGAAAAGCATGATTTTTAACGCCTTGATCGCTTCATCGTAGCGTTGTACTTCATGAAGCACTGCATACTTCAATTTGTACACAGTATAAGACGAATGGTTGAGTTCAATGACCTGTACATCGCTGGTATCAGCACTTGAGCTCGACAATAAACATCACTCGCACCTTTTCTGCATCGTCAAGGGCCTCTGTATAGAGCCTTCGTGTCAAATTTGCCTTACTTCGGCGCGCAAAAAGAGACTCGCATGAAGAGTCCAGGCTTATCCCTGCTGAATACAGTTCAACAGCCATTTCATAATTGCTCGCAGTAACAGCTTCGTCTCCCTTTGTGACACAACGTGAAGTACACTTGTACTTGAAGGCTAAAGGACACTAGAATGAGTCTCGATTTTTAGATTGTTCACAACCACTCACCGGCAGACCATTCGTGGTAAACGGGCTTCACAGCCTCGCTAATCATGAGCATCATATACTGATGAGACCCAGCCGCTTCAATCACACGATCAGCACAGAGAAACGCTTCACAACGTCTTTGGTTGGCGGTCTGCCATAACCAACCGAAGTCCCAGCCGAAGAACTGCAATGCATATGATCAATCAGTGGGGATATCCTCTGAGGCTTCGTAGTGATGTACCTCCGTGAACGTACCCATGAACCCATCCAAGTTATGCATGAGTTCACCCGGTATAGATTCATAAAGTGTTGGACGTAGGAACCTGTCAGCGATAGTAGTAATACCGGCCGTAAGTTGATCAGCGGCTTCGCTGTAGTGCCCACCCTCAAAAACAATCATTGCGCGTTGCACATGAAGGTATGACTGGCGAGTATATTCAAAATGAAAAAAAAATTGTTAGGCCTGACGTAGGACTCACATCGACTATGTGGCACTGAAGTGTCTCTGAGGACTGACAGGCGGCGGCTAAATCTTGAACCCGTCGTATCGCTTCATTGTGGCGACTTGAGTTGAAAAGCGCAATAGCCTGGTAAAAATTACATTGGAGTCTTAGTATAAAACACACTATTAGAAATAACGAAGAGAGTACCTTAATTAGTAAGATCTCGACAGTCATTCGATTGTGATTTGAAGATGAGAGAGCAAGATCAAAAGCTTCCATGGCATCCCAAAGTTGATGCTTGGCGCAGAGGGCAATGCCTTTAGAAATATAGCCCTTCTGCATCAAGTATGTTCACATTCAGTATACGCATCGAAGCCAAACAACTTACGATGAATGATGAACAACTGCCGGGCTCTTGGCGACTTTCCTGGGAATGAGTGTTTGTGCCGCCGTGATCGCTAGATAGCTCATTGTTGGTAACATGACTGCAGGGCTGCATGTCGCCGTCGAGAATGACTTGAATGTGGATTGAATAGACAAGGAAAGGGGATAGCGTACCTGTGTGAAATCGCGTCCGATTTCGATTTGTATCCTGACGGATTTGTAGAAATTATCCATGCCGCCCTGATAATCGACGCCGAGCTGTACGAAATCACCATCTTTGAGCTGATATGGTGCGCTCTCAGAGCCTGGACAGCTTATGTGGAAAATGATTGAGGAAAGTGCCTGATGACGATTTGGTGTCCTTGATGTAAATCTTGCCATTTTCTGACCAGATTTCTGCATGGAGGCGAGAGAGTACACGCGTGTCAAAGGTAATTTCGTTCGTGGATTGGGCATCTAAAGCTGAATGACCTGAGAAGCGACCAATGCGAATGGGGGTGTCGCCGTCTGTGAGGTCGCGGAAGATTGGCTCGAAATGGAAGGTGTGGTTGGAATCGACGTACGGGACCAGGCAGATGCGGTGGGTGAGGGGGTGTGTGGCAATGGAAGAGGGAACATCGTTGACGGGTGTAGTGCGTGACAATTCGGTGGCTGGGGGTCTTGAGGAGGTGAGTCCTGCTTTGAAAGTCTGGACAGTGCCTGGAGCAGAATGATATCGCTGTCGGGAAGGAGGATGAGGGGTTAACTTGCGAGGAGGTAGGCCGGAAGTGGCTGGTTCAGGAGAATTTGAGGTTTCTCTTCGGCGTCCGCGCAGAAAGGAACCCCAAATAGTCATGGTTTGACGGTAGAGATCATGGAGAATCACTCAGCTGAATGTCGGTACTTCAAGCATTATTTATAATCACCATCCTGAGCTGCAGTGCCCTGAAAGCGAACAGCCTGGCTTCAGGCCTGGTTCTCGTAAGTTCTTCAACTATAGCTTTTGATTCTCCCACCATCTGTCAAACGCTGTTCCTAGACTTTGTATTAGAAAATCAATGGCTGTCTTATATACTGATTACTACTTGCCTCATTTCTTGTCGATGATTGATCATGTACATACCTTTCCTTGCCATGAGCACTTCAGAGGAACTGCGACCTCAAGACAACCCCGCGTTATGATCTTTCCTCTTTAGGACACCCGTCAGGTCCCGGCCCCTGTTCCGGCCCCACCGATCTGAGTATAGTAGAGTTTTACAATGGCGCTAACCCATTAGAAATTGTTGAGGAGTCTGAGCAAGCTAATTACAGGGTATGATTATCATTAGGGGCTACTGAAATGATTACGTCTGGTTCTTCAAAGCTTCATCTCTTGCCACCATGAACGTCTCTGGTCCCTCGCGACTGCGTGGTCCACGTCCGGTCCCTGGTTCAAGAGAAAAAGACAGCTATGAGGATCTTACCCGTACGATCGCTGAGCTAGGTCTTTCTGATGTCGAGAGATTGCAGAGCCTATATGATCACAAAGAGCGTCGAGCAAAGGGGCCCTCTGATCGCGAAGTTGCTATCGTATTGTTGATGCAGAATGCCCGAGAACTTGCGCAGTTTAATGCTGATCTGGCACTCGCCCAGCGACTTGCTGTTGATGGAGATGAGGAGCCTGATCCTACAGTTAGGTCAGGCTGCATATTGTGGAATTCACCAAAGCTAACATTGTTAAGCAGGCCAGCAACAGCTGTTGCTCTCCAACGCGACATTGAAAGGTACGCACGCGAGTACAATGCTCCTTTGGAGTCACTGACGAGAACTTCAGAACTAGATCAAACATGCAAACATGGAGTCAATTGCTTGACTCCTTTCTTTTGACGCCCGTATCAAGTGGTCAGACAACACCAACCCCAGGTCAAGCGCCGACTATAACGGCTAGATGTCCTCATCGGTGAGAGCTGTCATGATACCGGTGTAATGCTTAAACCGAACGAACCATCATACTAAGTAGGGCAACTGGTCACATCTGTGTGATTTGTCATGATCCTATCTTTGGAGAGGAAGTTCTGGCACCATGTAATCACTTCTTCGATATCAGCTGCATCATCGACCTATTCCGGTCAGCCATGCGCGACGAGCGCCTGTTTCCTCCTCGGTGTTGCCATCAGAACATTCCGCTACCGCAAGTTCGGCCTCACTTGACGCAGGCATTCCTTACTGAGTTTGAACTCAAAGCCCAAGAATATGGGACTCTGAAGCGCGTTTATTGTGTCGAATCAACGTGCAGCCGTTTTCTCGGACCATTACATGACGGGGGTTCCTCAAAGATCTTTACATGCCCGTCCCCTACATGCATGACGATGACATGTGGAAAATGTCGTGGGAGATACAAAAGATTCACCCACTCCTGCACTCCCGATGCAGAGACTGAGGTTGTACTCACGCTTAGCCGCGCCTCAGGATGGTCCCGTTGCCCAGGCTGCGCTCAGATGATTGAGCTTAGCGTAGGGTGTTTCCATATGAGCTGCCGATGCAAGACGGAGTTCTGCTATCTGTGCAGAGCATTGTGGAAGACTTGCAAGTGTCCCCGATGGGACGAGTCTAGGCTGCTTGCTCGCGCACAGTGAGATCGTGGGGTGAGTGCTCTGCTACAGTTGTGGAGCATGCTCATCTTCCTCGAGAGGCACCTGGAATGAATGGTTGAGTCACCGCTTGTTACTTGCTGCCAAAATTCCCCTGGCTCACGTAAAGTACTGGTTTGGTGTTGGTATTCCGGAGAGGAAATACGATGATCACTGGAAGCAGCCATCAGGGAGGAACAATCAATATATACATTCCGCAAAAAGTATGAATTTTAAGGTCCTTGACTCGTGCGTTGATATTGTGATCCGGCGCTATACTCTTACACTCCCCACCACGCTGCTGCACTAGCAGGGGTGTGCCAAAAGGTGGGCGATCAAGCAAGGCATGATCTGCATGGTAACTTGAGACCCTTCGGGCCCACCTCGAATTTGAAGTAGACAGTACCACAACTAGATGGTGATACTTGAAACACCGCAACCGTTGGAACTGATGAGCACCATGTTGAATTCTAAAGACAGTCTAAGTGTCATCCGGTTGACCTTGCGAGGCTCGAGATCCGAGTCAGAGTAATCGTCGGGCATAATGACAAAGTACTCACCAGCCACAGCTGTATATCATGGTCAACACTTTCTCTGCTCACAGCATCCAAGGTGCCGGGTACCAACTTCTCAGATTCAGAGATATGAAGAAAAATGGCGTGATGCTCGACGTTGACGGGGTTGCAAGGACAAAAAGCGACACCAGCAGGATTTGAACCTGCGCACGGGAACCGTAAGAGATATCTGTGATTCGAATCTCTCGCCTTAACCACTCGGCCATAGTGCCATGGATGAGTATACTCAGTTGTCCTTGTCAAGGATACATCTGAACGTGGGAAGAACGCACGTACCCACAGGGACAATACTCAACGTATCTATTGTCGCGCACGACGTCTGCACTTCTCTCAAAATACGTGCGCTCTGGCTCACAAGCCTACATGGGTCAAGCCCGCCAAACCAATCCCGAATACAGATGTCTCCTTACAGTCGATTCCGAGTTAGAGGAAAGAGCCTGAGATGAGATAACCAATTTCAAGACCACCGTGACGACACAGTAGATCCCGCCCGTCCGGTGCACTGAAGCCTCTACTTCCTATGGCTCGGCCCCTCATGTCACACGTGTGTCCTACTCCGACCACTATCTTCACTCCCAATATTGCAGAAGACCAGCTTGCGCCATTTTTTCGAGCACCTCTTCCATTCCCTTCGAACAGTAGCAAACGAGCTCCCACAGATTCTTGCTGGTTAATGGAGGGAAGAGTGGGCTATCTGATGCAGTTTGCTCTGGGGTATGAGAAGACTGATGTTAGCGCGCACCGTGATAAACACTCTAACCAAGAAGACACCGATGCTGGAAGACAAACGGAAATCTGGCTGACTTGAACACATGCAGCAGCCTGAGTCATTTCTTGCTATCTTACTTCTACATTCAGATCTGAATTTTGTTATCTATTCGCGGACCGTGCACCACGTTACCGTCTCTCGAAATGCCACCCATAGCCGACATTTATTTCATCAACATGTCAAACCAAGTCGCTTGCGGAAGAGGAAGAAAGCGAAACCAAAGGTGATTACACCACCCTCCGTCGAGCATCTGGGATCCTTTATGGAACAAACTCTCGAATGGGCGGCTAATGTCCGTACATCTCGCACTTAGATACGGACGCGACTCGCCATAAGAGCGTTTCAATGCCGTTCAAAGTGACTCATGTCTCGTTGAATAACGAGTACCGGTCTTACATCCGAGATCGTGGCTCGGACCGAGTTGGAACAGGGGCACCGGTAGCCAGTACTCATTTCCTTCTAATGTGTTGCTTGTAGGTTCACTTTGATATCAATACGAGATGGCTTCCTCTCATCTGATTGTTCGCTCCACATCTCCGTTGGGTTACTCATTCTCTGCTAGTACTCAGTAGACCATGTTGACAATCACAAATGTTACTTGGCTGGACCTACTATGCCTTACAACCGGAGTTTATCTGGTAAAGCAGGTGGTCGCCAAGAAGAAACCTGTACTATATCCACCTGGTCCCCCGGTGTGGCCTCTCATTGGCAATATTTTGGATATACCTTGTATCAAGCCCTGGCTCACATTTACTGAGTGGGGTCAGAAGTATGGTGAGTGCCTCCCTCTTTTCCAGAATCATGTATTTTCAAAATCTTTCTGCAGGTGATATCGCGCATGTCGAGATTCTGGGTCAGCACATCATTGTGCTGAACTCTGTCAAGACTGCAATGTAAATGATGGACAGTAAAAGCCTTGTGTACTCTGATCGTCCTGTTTTTCCTATGGCTGGCGAACTTGTTGGCTGGAAGGAAGCAAAATTGAGGAGGTCGAGACTCGTCGATTTCTGAAGCGTGTGCTTGCGAAACACGACCAACTGCAGAAGCATGTTCGACGGTATGTATTATCTATCCTCGCAATGATACGATCCTGAACTTCTGTTATAGTACTGCTGGTGCTGTCATTCTGCACATCTCTTATGGTTACAAAGTGAAAGAGAACGACGATCCCTTCGTTGACCTTGCAAACCACGTTCTAACCCAAACCTCAGAGGCTGCAGCTCCCGGCGCCTTTATGGTCGATATTTTACCATCCTGTGAGCTATATTATTCGATCCTTTTCGTTGGCTTCTGATGACCGGACAATCTTTAGTGGCAAAGGTCCCCGCGTGGTTCCCTGGTGCTAGTTTCAAGCGTATAGCACGTGAATGGCGTGGGAGCCTCGATGAGATGGTTTCTGCACCCCATGAGTTCGTCAAGGATCAGATGGTGACCAATTTGCAGTTTTGCGAACATTTATTGAAGTCCAAATTTTACAGATCGCTGGCATCGCCCCTATGTCTTTTACTTCGAATCTCTTGGAAGCTATGATGTGTCTGCTTTGTCCCTATACGCTGGTGGTTCTGACACAGTTTGTTCTTACATATTTTATGCGTATTTCGTTCGTAACATTATTTATTTACCAACGGGTATCTAAATCACAGGTTTTCCCCACTGTGTGGCTAAAGACGATATCCATGACGGGTACTATATTCCAAAAAGCTCCTTAGTAATGCCTAACATTTGGTTGGTGCTCCCCCTTCGATTGATGCACAGAATATAATGCTCTTAATCGCGACAGGTTCGTGCTTACCGATCCACAGACATATGCTAACCCCTCGCAATTCAATCCTGAGCGCTTCTTGGCTAAGGACGGAACGGAACCTGAGACAGAGCCCCGCACAATGTGCTTCGGCTTTGGTAGACGGTAAGCATAAAATTGGTCCTGAAACTGATGGGAATGCTAACTTTTTGCTCTGCAGTATTTGCCCAGGTATGCTCAACTCGCATCAATCAACGAACCGTATATGACATTGACTTGCTTTTGATGTACAGGTCTTCACCTTGCTGATGCCTTCCATTTGGATATCCACTGCGATGTCACTGGCCGTGTTTGATATTTCCAAGGTTGTTGAGAATGGTGTTGAGATCACTCCTGAAGTTGAACCCTTACCGGGTGTGGCCAGGTATGTCGCATATCTTGTCATGCGCAAGGCAGGCCTAGATTGACACACTCCAAGCCACCCCAAACCCTTCAAGTGTTCTATCAAACCTCGCTCTGCAACTGCCCTTGGACTCATTGAACAAGATGCTAACTACTAAGCTCACGATGGTGAGACCGGAGAAACGCGCGGGGATGACACACACTCAGGAATTATGCAATATGATATTTGGAGTTCGGGAATCATTTGCTCCGCGGAACTTTTGTGGACAGTGGACGCAACGAACGAGATTATGTACTCATAATATTAACTTCGATATTCCGAATCATGCTGATTCAGTTCAGGATACACCCGCTCTACGATATCGACGATACCCTGACTTATGATAGTCATGTGGTCGGGACTGTCACAATCATGATATAGCCAATGTGAAAGTCGGCTACGTCCTTAGGTCACACCCACAGCACCGGGTTCCCAATCCTCCCGCTCATCTCGCCACATGCATGAATACAATCTAATATGTCACAAATCAAAGAGATACGTTCACGTAGTCATTTGATATTCCGGACTAAAATTGCGCTTTCCGTTTCATCAGAGATGATCTTGGATTCTGTACATTCACTTGGTCCCAGCTGCATATAAATGCATCAGCGTCACGCAGCAAAAACAAGTCCAAAGAGGACACACGGTACAAACACAGTTTGCATCTTTCCATGTGCTTCCCAAGTAGGGTCCAATTCGGGATACACGCGCTCCACAATGTCCATGACGGCCTGGAAGACGATCTTTAATCTTGGAAGTTAGCAAGCCTGACAGGTCGGGATTCAAGTTTGCGCGTACGTTGTAACCATCACTGGTTAGATGTAGCCCATCTTTCAGGTATTTTTCGCATGCTTCTTCACTTCTACCAGCACCATCGAATATCTTTGTCCAGACGTCTGCGACGGGCACATTCTCTTTCTTACCTACTTCCTTGACAGCTTCCGCGTACGACCTCGTAGTCTCGAATACACGTGGACTGTCAGGCTTGTCCCATTGCTTCGTATTTACTGGCGGTGGGGTGATCAAGATTATACGGGTCTCAGGGGAATAGTATGCTGAAGTTGGCGATTTCACCATTTGAATGATATGGCTCAAATTAGTTTTGTATCTGTCTATCGGGACGTGCCGTAGGCTGGGAGCAGGTGCAGCGTCATTGGCGCCGTACCAGATTGTGAGTAGCTTGACCTGCGGAACGTGATGTTGCTCATGCTGTTTAGCAAAGATCTACAAATATGTCCGGCACGATTTATAAAATGACAACATTGGATTTCACCTGCTCGCAAATTGGAATTGCCCAGTCCGTTTGATAACCCCCGAGGCCACGATTGATAACATCGAGCTTCCGAACGTACATTTCTATAGGTCGCAGCCTCAGATTCAAGTTCATACCAAATATTTGTTATATGCGTACCTGCAAGTAACTGTGCGAAGCCTCCTTGCTCCCATCCACGTTGAGTAAGGGAGTCACCGACGAGCATGACGATATCTTGTGTATTGGCCGCCATATCTATCTAGATCTATCTTCGCCTTTCGAGGTCACAGACCGATCAGTATTTGATAGATATCCAAAGACAGTAGACATTTACCTGTGATCGCCCACCCAATCGCTCTATTCAAAGGTTTGAAATGAAGGGGTATCAGGCTGTATCATGATGATCTTATAAACGCATCCTTGGCTTATCATGTATGCTAACGGAATTCCGCATTGGGAGTCATGTGGGCTCAGTTCAGAGGACGGGTTGGGCGTGTTGCGGCACGGATGCGGTAGTGGGCGCGGTAGCAGTGAGTCCTATATACATAGTAATCGGTACAAAACCATAAACATGTATGGACGTGGGAAGAACGCGTTTTATTACTTTGTGGTTGCTCGCAGCACACTGACAAGCCACTGAACTAGAATGCCGACGCCGTCTGAGACGTCAACGCGCTCACGCTTGTCGTTGTCACGCACGACATCAAACTCAACCACTACACGTACTTCCCTCAAGACGCGTGCGCTGTCAATCACAAGTGATGCAAGCGGTTGTACGACTGTGAAGCCCGCCAAACCAATTTCGAATTCGAACTCTACTTCAAACATGCTCTCCACGATGCCGACGCACTTGAAGCGTTCTGGCACAGGTCCGCCCAGTGCTTTCCCGCGTTCCTTGTCTGCTTCCACTAGTAGCACTACAGGTTCGAATGGAAATCGAAGTGTGGTGTCATCAACCCCATCTCGAGCACGCGTCGTTTCCGAGACATCTATCCCAACTCTATCCCATCAACACCGTGCTTCAGTCAACCTCGCCTCTCCAAAACTCGCCATAAACTTTACATCCCCAAGTCCCGCAAAGCACAAGAACAATCCTTCATCCCCGTCAGTCCGTGTGCTCGCAAGCTCTGCTAATTCCAATTCAACATCAGTATCTGGGAGCGGCGAAACGGCTTCCCTGACCAGGACCGTCTCCATGGAGAGTACTCCGACAACTATACCCCCGTCTTCCGCGCCTAAGCCCCATTCAAGTAACACACCCTCAAAACCTTCAACACACACACCTTTGACCATCACACCCTCTAAATCCTCTCCTCTCGCTCGTACCCAGCTACAGCGTACACCATCAAAGACATCGAATATGACACGATCCCCTGGAGCAAAAAATATACACTCTCCAAGTCCAAAAGTCCGTTCTCCAGGTTCAAACTGCGTAGGTAGAGAGCCTGTCGCGTTGCTCTCTGAATCGCTCGCCTCGAAAAATGGTATGGCTGCAAGTGCCATGGGCGGGACCAGAATAGGAAGCGTCTTCAGTGATGGTACCGGGAGTATCATTGGTGGTCCTAGACGCGTGAATGGACGCGTCACGAATGGTGCCGTGATCAATTTGAACGATGATACGGGTTTAGAGGATATATGGGATCATGAGGATGACGGGATGACGTTTGATATGGTTACGGATGTGGATGGGGAAGGCGATGAAGAGGTGAGTTCGTTTCATTTTAGTGTTTCGTTTGTCTACTCTTTTCTGTCTGTACTTTTGCGATTATTGGATTGTATACGGCCTTGATGTCGTTACGTACGCATGTCCTCCTGACGCGCACTACATGCATACATTCGTTCCTACTTATCACTATCCAGCCCCACTTTCACGTGCATACATCCACTCATCCCTCTCATCTCATCTCACTTCTTTATAAAACCCAACTAACTCAAGTCTACAGCTCGACCAAGCCCTCATCCAAATTCGCACCCTCCACACCTCCAAACTCCTTGCCTACAAGCGCCTCCTCGAACGCGCGCACGCAAGTAGCGCAGCGCAGGTTTATCATCTTCAAGCTCAACTCGCAGAATTGCGTTCTCAGTCTCAGGCTCAGGCGCAAGGATCCTTGCAACTGGAGGGGGGTGAGTATTGTGTTTGTGGTGGGAGGAAAAGGGGGTATTGGGACGGTGTTAGTTGGGGGGATGTGGAGGAGGATGAGACCGCAGAGGGTGGCGATTTGGTAGATGCTATGAAGAAGCTTGATGAGAGGGGTATTAGGAGGGCTATGAGAGGGTTGGGGAGGGAGAGGCGGGGGAGAGTGTGAGTCTTTCTTTGTTATGATTTGGGTTCCTGTTTCTTGGTGTTGGAGGTCGTGCCTGCTGATTGGTGCAGGGGCGAGATGATGTGGTAGTCTCTGGATGTGTTCCCTCGTCTCTCTTTCCTTTGTGACTCCACTTTTTGGTGAAGACGCTGACACTTGCATTCTATCGCGTAGTATGCAGATCATACTCGAGTGTACGTCCCGCACATCTTCATAAAGAAGCGCCAGCTGATTAACCCCTCTCTTCCCCGACCATCCCAACAGCAACCCTCCCAGGTGACATCCCCCTCCAAATCCTCCTCCTCCAAAAATACCTCAAAAGCTCATTCGACATCATCGGTTTCCTCGCACCTGAGATCGCCCTTCAGATCTTGAGCAAGTTGAGCGTGAAAGAGGTTGTGAGGGCTGGGTTGGTGAGTGTTTTGCTGTGGATTTGTGGGATGTTGGGGCATCTCGGTTCCGCTCGGAACCCTTTTTTCTTGAGACACCGGTCGGAACCATATGAGTACTGATGGCACATGACAGGTCTCGAAAAAATGGTACACCGCAACTCGTCATCCTGCATTGTGGAAGTGGCATTGTCTGCGCTTGACTGCCAATGATCCGGTCCGTGTGAGAGCACCAGCGCAGCGTGAGGGATGGTGAGTTCTCTTTCCTCGCTTTTCATCTTTCCTCCGATTCGTACTCGCCCCTGTGTTTCCTCTCCATTGTAAGCTCAACACTTGCATTTACTGATTCTTTCAATGTATTGCATCACAGGTACCCTCTCTACCGATCCCTGCACCACCGCGAGTCCAATTTTGCTCATGCGCTCCCACAGAGCATACGCTTCTTGAATGGACATACGAATTTCTGTACGACGTTGTTATTGAGAGGTGAGGGGCGTTTTGGGAGTGTTTTTTGGTGTCGTTATTATTTTTGGGGAGGACGGCACTTTTTTTAGGATGGGGAGGGTTTCTATGCTGATGAAGAAGAGCCGTAGAATGTGAATCAGGGAGGCTAGTCAGCAGCTGTATTGCAAGTCCTGCTCTTCCAGCCACTCCGATTCACAGCTACTCTACCTCCATTCCGCCCTACATCCGGTGCTCGCGTGCCCTTTTGACTCTATACTTAGGAGACGTAGAATGCGGATCAGGGGGGCTGAAGGTCAGCAGCTGTATTTCAAAGCAGGTCTTGCTCCTCCAGCCACTCTGATTCACAGCTATGCCCTATCTATCACCCTTTCTCCTTCACATTTTGCCTTTACTCTCCCTAAATAAGGACTTTCGCTGATGCTGTCGCAGGCAAGCGCCTCATCTCTGGCTCCTACGACGAAACTATCCGTTTCTGGGACATCGACACCGGCGAGATGAAAAAGTGCCTGCAGGTGAAGAAGCCTGTGAGCTGTGTGGATTTCTTGGCGGAGGAAGGTGTGTCGTTTTTTGTATAGTGCATTATGCATGCTTGGGGCTCATGTGCCGAAGAGGTTTTCGTGGTTGGATTTCACGATGTTGGGTGCGTCCATTTGTGTATATCTGATATTTGAACTAAAATTATTGCCACAGCCGCGTTCACCTTTTTTCCTCCGTTACATTCACGCCTCTTCAACAACTTGCCGGACACCTCAACGGTATCCGCGCCGTTGCACTTTCCTCCAAGAACCTCGTCAGCGCGGGCGCTGACAAGGCTCTCGTGTGTTGGGATTGGCGTGCCGGGACGAAGATCGTGAGGTTTGGACAGCAGACGACGATTAATATCGGTGTGCAGATTGTCCAAGGGGGCACAGAGGCGGAGGGGGAGCGTGTAGTGGGTGTGACTATCGATGGCATCGTTCGGGTTTTCTCGATTAGTGAGTTTCTGGTTTCTTTGCTGTCCTCTTTACTCTGTTGCTGATGGTTTGATGATGGTGCGCAGAGAGGAGAGAGATGATCTCGCAGTTCAAGCTCAGTGAACTCGGCGGTAGCGACCCTGTGTTGCATGCGAAGCTGTTTAATGTGGGCTCTGCACCTAATAATATGTTGCAGTGGTTCGCGGCCAAAGGCTCGCAGATGACTGTAAGCGTTGTACTCATCTTTTGTCTGCATACTTCATTCGCTTCTTATTAGTGCGCGACTAAATCCGTGATCTTGCATCTGCAATGGAACGAAGATGAAGACGAGAGGACTCCTGCCGAGACAACTACAATGAGCCCTACGTTCACTGGAAGGACTCTTACCTCTCCTACGCCCTCCTCCCTTAACCCGAGATCACGCGCCGTCTCATCCCTTATACGGCCCACGCAGACGTCTACTCCCCAGCGCAGACAGTCTGCACTCGGGGTGAGTACATCGGGCTTGCCCAAATCGCGACTTTCGCTTGGGACACCTTCCACGCCTCTCTCCTCCAATATCAGCGCATCTCAAATTTCTGGTATATCACCATCTCCGCTCTCCCTACTCCCTCGATCTGGCACCCCGCTGTCCCCGATGGGTGCACCGTTATCTCCTATGGGTGCGGTGGGTGCAGACGGGTTTGCGATTCGGTTCGGGCGCGCGGCAATTTTGACTGCACCTCCCAAGCTCGTTGCGCTCGTAGAGACACCTGATGTTGCTGTTGGCGCAGTGGATCCTAGGAAGAGGAGGGTGGTCACTGCTACGAGGTTTAGTTCGCGGGCGGGGGCTGATCGGAGGGTATGTCTGTTCTTTTATTTTCTTACCCGAACCTCCTCCTCACTTGTTCATATCGTGCACCCAGATTCTGATGTCGACACATCAAGACAAGGACAAGGTTGATGGCCTTGATGGTCCAGTGGATGAAGACACGGGGCCTACGACGGACCATGCAAACCCGATGTTCTCGTCCCCGACGCCAAGCGTTGATATAGATGCAAATATCATTCCTTTGTCAGGCGCATGGGAAGCGCATGCTCATGCCACACCTGTGGGTATGAAAGGTCTTCTTGGTCCGTTACCGCCCAAGTTCGCGGGCTTGGCGACGCCAGAGAAGAATCCGATGTCGATGCAGCTCACACATGAGGAAGTAGTGGTAGGTTGTGCGGACGGGACAATTTAGTGAGTGACGTTTTGTTGCATTGTGTATTAGGCGCGTGCTGATGTGTTGCTGGTAGTGTAATGAATTTCTTGGGGCATGAGTATGTGAAGGAGAGGTCTAGGACAGAGGAAGGGATTGAGGAGGACGAGGCAAGCAGTGAGGAGGGAGATGCATCCGTGGATAAGAGTTTAATTTTGGGGGCTTGAGAGGTGTCGAAAATTTCACGCAGCCGCACCAAAAGGACAGGCACCAAATACCACACCGAACAACTAGCAAAGGAATACCAACTACTACCGCACTGGATGGAACACACGGACTAGAGTATTCAACAATTTCGACTGGCAGGACAGCTACTACCTACCACACTCGTTTTATACCATCAATGACTCGTTTATTTGGATTGATATTAGCGTTAGTTAGAGACAAATGGCTCTTGATATATAGCTCGTGTTTAATTCTCTTGCTTTTGCGTCCTGCAGGAGCTAGTAATGTTGGCCATTAAGGAATCATATATCATACCTGAGCTGCTGCGTTGAACGAGCCATGCAACGGACGCCTGCATGGAGGCATGGTCGAAGAGGGTTCGCGGAGCTTGAACTTGAATATCATGATAACGCCTCTCAATGTGGGACCGTCACGCGCACTACTATCGAGTAAAGCAGGGGCGTAGTATAATCCACGGCGTGCAACTTTGAACATGCTCATCAAAGTCAAAGTAAGTACTTAAACTCACTCTCAACAAACGTTCCACTACGTTGATGACCGCCAGACGCTCACTGGCAAGGAGGTGCCCAATCCAATTCTCGCGATCTGTTCATGACTAACTGTCATGTATGGACAGATTGAGTTGGACATAGATCCCGAAGACAAGGTATCTACAACCAAGCGTACTCGTCGCTGTCAAGCTCACGAACCATGGTAATACAGATTACTCGCATCAAAGAGAAGGTTGAAGAGCAGTCTGGTGTGCCACCACAACAACAGAGGTTGATCTTCGGTGGGAGACAGATGTGCGTGGTCGCCCTTATTTCCATCAGATCATGCAAACTGACCATATCTTTCTCGGTTATAAATCAGGCCGGACGACAAGACTGCCAAGGAGTTCAACATCTCCGCAGGATCAGTTCTCCACCTTGTTCTTGCTCTACGTGGCGGCTTTTGAGATAGCGAACGGTTCTTGCGCGTATGGAAATCATGCTATAGCAAAGCAGAAAGTCAAACGCAAGGTGTACTTTGTGTGTTATTAGACATCATTCATAATTGATTTTGGATCGCTCTCATCCTGTATCGCCCATCTTTGAGGATGGATAACTCAGCATGGAAGAATTTCCTTTCTGCTCATGCAACTGATCATTTCAGGTGGTTCCACTTACTCTTGATGGATCTTCTCCGATGATGTCTGCGTCTGGCTTGGCAAGAGCTCAGGTTTATTTTCGGTGCTCCATTCGTCTAATCTTCAACTCTTCAACGTTGAAACTTGAAGCAGATACACCAAAGGCAGTTACTGAGTGAGCAGAGTAGAGGTACAATGGCACCGTTCGCACTCTTGTACAAGGATCAGACAGAACATGTTGAACAATCAGGACGACTTGGCGTGAGAAAGAGAAGAGAAAACAGAGTCAGGGACTGGCGGCTCGCCGCCGCTACGATGAGATATGACACTGCGCACACTATGGACACAAACATACAAAGCGAGGGCAGGCCGTCGAGCAAGTGTAGCGAGCGAGCGAGGTGAGAACCCAATACAATGAGCAGGTATAAATAATGCATCAAGCGAATGACGAATGACATGAGGGCATGATGCAGCAGCGGCAGGTGGAACGAGAGCATGAAGCCAGAAAGTGAAACAAGCAAAACAAGACACAGCCTTGATAGCGGTGATGTAGTGAAACTGGTACGCGCTCGTTCTCGCTTGCTTTTCTCACTTTCGTTTGGTGTTTTTTGACAACGTCCCTCGCTCAATCCAGTTCGACAGTGAGACTACACCGTGACCAGAAGGGGATCGTTCAACCATAGTTTTTCGACGAGTCAAAACTTTGATGGGCCTAGCAGGATTGTGCTAGTTCTTGTGATGTGACATTGGCCTTGTTAGCTGGTCGAATATAGATGACACCATACCTTGTAGAGACAGTTCATGTCCAGAAATATGCCTCTGTATGGTATAGATTACATGTAGTGATGAACAGTGGAAGGACGGACTCGATCTGACGCCAGTAGACGGGAAATTCATGCAGCAGTGAGTCTGCAATATCTACCAATGGCCCATGGGCGCAGGCCGAAGATTGGGAGCCTTGTACTCGATATTGACTACCTATTGCGAGATCAAACGAAGACCATCAGCTCAAAGGGGGACATACAGAATACATACAGTAAGCTGTTGCCCAACGAGGCTTGGTGTGCACTGTGCAGCGTGTCACGGTTGCATTCAAATTTTATACCGAGTAAACATATACACATACGTTGGACCCCGAGGACTTCTCCGAGCCGAAAAAAAGGGATTTGGGCGTGTACTTAGTATGCGCTTATTCTTACTTTCAGTTGTAGTCTTCATCTTCAATAGATGATATCCAGTATTCAATTATCGGACACAGGGCTTCCAATTGAAGTGTAGCTCCAGCTTCATTGGTAGTACAGACTCACTGCATATTGAAAGTCCGTCCTTCCATTATTTTACAGGTGATCTATGTCATCCACGAGGCACTTTGGCAGACATGAACTTTATATCTACAAGGTTGAAGGTATGGTGCGGGTTATCTCCACATCCTATCTCATACTCGATCACCATCCGTCATTAAGTACGCCGCCTCTCATGTACACCCGTCTGTGGATCCAGATATATCGGAATAGGCGGTCACATTTACTTTCCCAGTAAGTTCAAAGTTTTATCTTCGAGATCATCCCACTTGAAAATGACTATTTATTCGTGCACTTTATATCTCGTATCAACAGTCAGCCTAAACGTCTACAATCATTCAAATCATGGTCGCTTCATATCGAGGTCATGTCAATTACCCTCCCCTCGATGGATCTTTGTCCCTCCCTCAATTGGTTGAATTCAATGCGCAACATAACTCGGACGTCACTTTCTTTGTCTACGACAAACCCGACAGCAATGACCTGGTCTCTATCTCTCATTCAGACCTCTATCGAGCTTGTCATCGGGCCGCCCAGGCAATTAGACCAGCCTCCGCAGGCGCAGACAAAGAAGTAGTCGCCCTCATCGCGAACTCCGACACCCTTCTTTACCAGACAGTATTCATGGGCATAATATTCGCTGGGCTGGTTGTGTGTACATAGATTTTCTTAATGATTGGGTTTCTGATTACTGTTTTCAAGCCGTTCCCTATGTCCCCCCGTAATTCAGCGGCGGCAGTCACGAGCATGATGCAGAAAACAAGATGCCGTCGTTTGATCACCACTCGGCACTCTCTCGCTTCCCTAATCGACGGAGTCGAAGCGGGTCTGCTATCTGCCACTGAAACGAGCCAGCTGCAGATTGACGAGATTCCAGCGCTGAAATACCTGTACCCATCACTCGTTAGTGGTACTCCCAACGAGGCTAGTGACCCGTACCCTTCCCTAGGTCCGCCGTCGTCTGAGAACGATGTATTATTCTACCTGCACTCCTCTGGCAGCACTGGCTTCCCGAAACCTATTCCAATAAGTAACTTGACTTCCATCCACTGGTGCCTAACGCGTGAGTCACTAAAATAATCCGCACAGCGAACAATGCTAAGATAGGGTACGGTTAGCATCTATCTACGACCTGACTAACCATCCCACTCCTATTCTCCTCGGTGCTGCGTCCTTGCCACCATTTCATACCCTTGGTATATATATTCAGCTGCTCGCCCCTATCGCCACCCTGAGCAGTGTGTCTATTTACCCGCCTACATCCTTGCTCGATCCCTTGGCGACTCCTATAGTACCCAACTCGCAAAACATCCTAGACTCTGTACTCAAGACGAAAACGAACATTTTGCCAGTTGTGTCTGCCTTTCTGGAACAGTGGGCGTTTTCTCCGACTGCCGTCGATGTTCTGAAGACTCTCGAATATATTGTAAGTTTGTTATCAATGCTGTCACAATGAATGACTCGCGTTGATACCAATGCAGATCTATGGTGGCGGTCCTCTCGTGCCTAAGATCGGAAATACTCTGGTGAATGCAGGGGTCAAGCTTTCTTGTTGCTATGGCGCTACAGAATTTGGTATCAACACTCATTCTATCCGAAATTCGGTGGATCAAAAATTTTGGGACTGGGTGCGATTCGGACCCAATTCCAAGATCAGATGGGCTCCACAGGACGATGGTACATATGAATGTCAAGTCTTGGTGCGTCTCCGAGTTGATCTTCGAACACGCGTTGAATGCTCTTTTGCCGACAATTCCAACGCATCGAGTGTCAGTAGAGAATCTTCCGGACGTCAAGGGTTATGCTACCTCAGATGTATTCATCAAGCACCCGACCATTGAGGGTCTGTGGAAGATGTACGACTGAATTTTGCGTTATTCGTGTTTTCTGACATTTTCCTTGCAGTGTAGGAAGGATCGACGACGTTTTGACACTCTCGTCCGGGGAGAAGACAGTACCAGCTCCCATGGAAAGCATCATCTGCGCCAACCTCTACGTAACCAGCGCCGTCATCTTTGGCCGTGGACGCAATCAAGTTGGGGTCCTCATAGAGCCACGAGCAGGGTGTGAAATTGACGTTGATGACGAAAAGCAACTTGCCGAGTTTAGGAACCGAGTGTGGTAAGTCCCCTAAAAGATCGCATGCTACTGTTGCGTCTGAAGAAGTTCTTGAAGGCCGGACATAGAGGATGCGAATCAGGAGGCTCCTGCCTTCAGCAGGATCTTCAAAGAAATGATTCTTGTGACACACGGCGAGAAGCCCATGCTTCGAGCTGGAAAAGGGACCGTCATGAAGAAAGCAACCCTCAAGCTGTATGAGGAGGAGATCAATGTCCTGTGAGCATAGTACCCATTAGTCACTCTGTTAACTAGCATTCATGGGCGACAGATATGAAAAGGTCGAGGGCAGCACTAGAGCAGGTATCGATGTACCTTTGCCCACAAGCTGGACTGCGGAAGATGTTGAGGGATGGCTCAAGGTCCACGCTGCTGCTGTGAACGCCGACAAGGAAGTTGATCCTGATGCGGACCTTTTCACTCAGGGATTTGACAGGTGGGTCGAGACTGACAAAGGCTGGTGCTCTGCTTACTCTGTACATCTAGTATCTCTGCGACATTTCTTAAAAACCGCATTATCGGCTCTCTCAGCTCATCTTCAGATCGTGACCTTCAGGCATCAGCATCACGGATTGACCAGAACATCATATTTTCAAGTCCTTCGATTCGCCAGCTCGCGAGAAGCGTTATTAATGCGGTATTGCAGCGGAATGGTACAACTACCGTCGACGCCAAGGCCGATATCGAGAACATGATCGAGAGGTATTCAGTCGGATTAGGGAACTCTGTCACAGAGGTCGACACCACTCCAGTTAATGGGTGCAGCCAAAGCGATCATGTGGTTGCCCTGACCGGGTCTACTGGTGGTCTTGGCTCGTACCTGCTTGCAGATCTACTCCAGCGTGAGAACGTGTCTGCGGTATATGCCTTCAATCGCCCGTCAAAGGGGGCATCCATACAACAACGACAGGAAAACTCGTTCAGAGATCGCGGTTTAGATTTCACCGTACTCCAATCTGACAAACTAGTGTATGTGGAAACTGATACATCCGATGACCACCTAGGGCTGGATAAAGAGTTATACCAGAAGGTTTGTGTCATTTCCAGTGTCACTGAATTGACTAAAGATAGCGTAGATCTGCACGTCTGTCACTGTCATCATTCACAACGCTTGGCGACTCGACTTTAACCTAGCGCTCTCGTCATTCGACACTCATGTGCGAGGAATGTGGAATCTTATAGATTTGGCACTATCTTCTCCGCGTCATCCAAAGCCGCGTTTCATGTTCGCATCTTCCATCTCGTCTGCTCAAAGTTGGGATAAAGCGAAAGGACCATTCCCTGAAGAAGTGAAATACGACGCAGGGGTCGCAGTAGGTTTTGGCTACGGCGCGAGCAAATATGTTTCGGAAAGGGTGAGTCATGAGCTACTTTTTGGGGCGTGGATTCTACGAATACTGTTTCCATCAAGGTTCTTGTCAACAGCAAGTTACCAGCATCATCATTCAGAATTGGACAAGTATCGGGAGGACCCCCGCGAGGAGCTTGGTCTACGACAAACTGGCTACCGATCATCGTCAAATCAAGTGTCAGTCTAGGCGCACTTCCCGAAGCTAAAGGAGTAAGTCCGTCACTATCGAGGGTATCTATTTGTGACATGCGTGTTTTAGTTTGTGTCTTGGATCCCTGCCCACGCCGTATCAAATGCCATTCTTGATGTAGCTTTCGCGGAAGAAGAACCTCCCATCGCGGTGAATCTGGTGCATCCGAGACCGACTGCATGGAAGACGTTGATGCAGCCCATTGCGGACGCCCTGGTTGAGCGCAAAGTAACAAGTTACCCGCTACCTCTTGTGCCATTCTCAGAGTGGCTCGAAAAGCTCGAAACGAGTGCCAAGGACTTGAGCGAAGAGACCATGGAACGCATCGTACGTGTATCTCGATAGCTGGCTAGAACGTTTCCAATATATTCTTCGATTACAGCCTGCCATCAAGCTTCTCAACTTCATGCGTTCCATGACTCAATCAGACATCGCGATTAGGGCATCCGGAGAGATGCGATCCGAAGCGGGTGGCATGACTTTATTCACCACTGCCGTAGCCGAACGCGTCAGTCCAACGATGAAGGAACTGAAGTCGCTGTCTTCGGCAGATGCGGCACAGTGGGTGGATTATTGGGAGGCAATGGGAATGTTTCAATGAACATATGAGTAAGTCTTGAGGTTATGGCGCGAGGTATGAGGTGGTTATGCTAGAAAACGATATCTCAGTCTATTGAACTCTGTTATTAACCCTACTCAATCACGATTTCATTTCATGACAGTTCGAGGCCATGCAGCTAGAATGGTTCATCGAAACAGGACTATCAACCTACAACTGGGATACATTCAGAGTAAACGCAAACTTGAAGACATTTTGGAAAAAATCACGGTAATGAATATGAAGCTCAGAGAGTGCATCAGGGTATGATATTGATGCACTTTTGACTTCATCAGGTATAGTCTTAGTGTAGTAGTCAACACTATTTTTGCCATAGTACAAACATAGTTGAAAAGAGCTAATGACGCTCACAACACATTTTACCGACTTCTGCGATTCCATCTGCCAAGAGGCCAATTCCTTTCTGCCCAAGACACTAACATTTAGGCTACTATGATGTTACCCGATTTAGACTGTCGTGCGCCACAGCGCTTGACCTACCATCGGACGTCCACCATACATCATGGATGCCTCAGAGATAAGACAGAATTTCGACCGCTTCCGAATCCTCATTATAGGAAGAGCGAATGCAGGAAAAACCACCATCCTCCAGAGGGTTTGCAAGACACGTGAGAACCCAGAAATATATGACAGGGCCGGGCAAAAGGTGCGGTCCATGATACTAGCAGCACTACTGAGACGATCATAAATTGACCAAAGATCAGATCGATCCCGCCGTGTTGATGGCATCTAGAGAGGTAGGGCGTGTTCTTTTGTTCGGTAACATTACTTGACGAGATTTCAGCGCGGGGTACACGATATCGAGAATGAAATGGTGTTTCAAAACAACCAAGGATTCATTTTCCATGATTCACGCGGGTTTGAGGCAGGAGGACAATTTGAATTCGACAAAGTGAAGGCTTTTATCAGACATCGTTCTAAGAAGAGACGTTTGAGTGATCAAATCCATGTCATATGGTAAGTAATTGATCGATTTTGTGGCGTGCGCTATCTCACATCTTTTGCATAGGTACTGCATTCCGATGGATGAGGATTCCAGGTCTTTCACAGAAGCGGAAGCTAAGTTTTTCTCTCAGTGCGACACAGGAAGTGGTAAGCTTTTGTATCTGCCATTGTCCATCATCGACTCATTCCCAATCCTCAGTTGCAGTAATGGTGTTGTTCACTAAATTCGACGCTCTCTACGATGATGAATTTGCAGAGCTGACGAGTAAGGGAGTATCGAGAAAAGATGCTCAAACGCTGGCCTCGCAGCATGCCAAAGAAGCATTTTCCAATGGGCCACAACTAAAGCTTTTGTACAACCACAAGAACAATCAACGTCCTCCAAGGTGTCACGTATGCCTGCCTGGTAAGTCAACTAATTCTCGAGCTGCTAATCAATTTACTGCTTATTTCTGTTCGCCGGCATCTACTAGATATGGACAAGGATGATGCAGACTGCGGGATACTGATCGAACGCACGGCCGAAACTCTGGATGATGATACGCTCAAACAGATGTTTGTTTCAACTCAGCGGAGCAATTTGGAGCTGTGCATGAGATATGCAGTCGAAATGTAACTCTTCAAACCTCACTTATCAAGAGATAACTCACTGTATATTAAGAACTCTTGCACAGCATCTTGACTTCTCCAAGACAATCTCGTCGCGCATATCTGGGAAATCCGACTGCCAGATCGTAAACGAGTTGGGTCTATGGTTTCCGCATAGTTCAGTGAGATCGTAGGAATTTTTGAAATTTCCTCATTTATATTCGACGCTTACTTTTAGGCAGTACTAATGTCTGATCATCTGTACCAACATGCTGACCTAAGGCATTGCTAATCCCTTGACAGGACGTGAGTTTGTTGAGCCTGTGTCGAGCTTGAGCCTCACTGACCGAACACGTCGCTGATCCCTTTACAGGGTGTGAGTGTGTTAATCCTCTGTCGAGCTCGAGCCTCGCTGATAGAACACATCCCTGATCCCTTGACAGGCTGTGAGTGCGTTGGTCCTCTGTCAAGCTCGAGCTCGCTGACCGAACACGTTGCTGATCCTTTGACAGTTGGTGAGTGTGTTGATCCTTTATCGAGCTCGAGCCTCGTTTACCGAATATATTGCTGGTCCCTTGAAAGTTGGTGTGTGTTGATCCTCCGTCGAGCTTGAGCCTTGCTGACCGAACATGTCGCTGGTCTCTTGACTAGTCTGTGAGTGTGTTGATCCCCTGTCGGGCTTGACCTCGCTGACCACACACATCATTGATCCCTTTGACAGTCGGTAGATGTGTTGATCCTCTGTTGAGCTCAAGCCTCGCTAATTAAACGCGTTGCTAATCCTCTAACAGGCTGTGAGCGTGTGGATCCTCTATTGGGCTCAAGCCTTACTAACTGAACACGTCGCTAATCCCTTGACAGCGTGTAAGCATGTGGATCCACTGTTGAGCTCGACCCTCGCTGATTGAACACGTTGCTGATCCTTTGACAGGATGTGAGTGTTTTTACCTCTGTCGAGCTCGACCCTCGCTGATTGAACACGTTGCTGATCCCTTGACAGTATGTAAGTGTGTTGATCCTTTATTGAACTCGAGCCTCGCTCACCGAACGCGTCGCTGCTTGACAGGGTGTGAGTGTGCTGATCCTCTGTTGGGCTCGAGCACTGATGTGTTGATAATTATAGTATGCAAGTATATTTATCCACAACCATTTTTACCTTTTGATCATAATTCATCAGCGTTACCGCCCCGAAGAAGATGAGATGTGGTCCATGTTGCGATTTTCGGCATGTGCCATTGCTCACAGCTTGTCTACATGATTCTTATCTCAAATGCTCACTAATAGCGCTCCGAGTCGTCAACATTGGAGAAAATTATGCAGCTTGGTTCTGGTGAGATTTTATGCCATATCGCAATGAATCTGCTGATTATTGATCATAAGCTGCCGTTATTATCTTCGAAAACACTTTCTATCTTTGGGGCCAGCAACGCTATAGACTTGAGCAGGAGTCAGTTTACCCTATTCGTATTGCTCTTCAGCAGTACATAGCGTCTCCCAATGCAGCTGCTGTCAGGGAAGCTCTGAGCTCTGCCGTTCACACATATGAAGCAGGCTTCTCTCATTGGATAGCAGGGTCGGCCAGACGCTCTCAAAGGAAGGCGGAGTTAATCGACACAATTTTCGAAGTTGTTTTACAGCACCGCCTGTGTATGTGATATCTGGTGCAGTTGTCAGAGTCCCGCTGATATATTCGTATTCAGCAAGACCTTGAAGTTCAAGCAAATTAAAGCAATACGATGATATTCAGAAGATTAGATGGCATATCCGTGACAGTGGTTAAGGGGGTGGAACTGTATGAAATGTTGTATGATCAAGCAATTGGCGATATTTTATGGTGGGCACGCACACGATAGATAATGCCCTACGTATTTCATACGATGCTTGCAACTTTCTTCAAAGAAAAGAAATGTATATTTCCATCCAATTGCTTTTGGGCGGCGTTGGCATGGTGCATAGCAATTTCCTGCTGAGGGCACACTACAAACACACATGACTACAAATCCACAATCCTAGTCATATCATGCACGAATATGACAGTATGTCCTGAAAATTACAGTGGGTACTTTGCTATCGTGGATAACTGCCGAGGAGTCAAGTTTCTTTTAGCCAATACTGCAGGCATTGTGCATTCTGAACCCTCATTTAGTCCTGACAACATGATCATTAAGCTGCTCTGGACCAAGACCTTGTTACCTTGAGCGTGAAGAAATGCATTAGTACCTGCCGTATCCCACAGCCTGAAGCAGCCTGCTAATCGTCACATCATATGGAGCGTGTGATGCGACGACCTAGCATGGTGAGGTTTATGAGCGAGCGAGCTTTTGCCTACTCCACTCTCCCCAGAGTACCACGTTACATGGTCGACCTCAGGCTTGATGTCCCTACAGGAGACGACGATCGCATCCATTGACCGATCTCACGGATCACGAACCTGCTGTAAATATGTACTCCTTGTGTCTACTGCACCTGTTGTGTCTGTGGAGCCAGTAAGTTCACTGAAAGGTTGGATAACGGCTACCGGGCGTTGACGTAATTGGCTTTGTGACGAGTGCCTTTGGCCAGAATCAACGTGTTGTACCCTGTACCACGGCTATGAGGGCTGCAGTAGCACTACGGGAGCATCCGATCAAAGAACACAACGTGGTAAGCATCGAAATAGTTAAATTCCTCTTCGGAATTGTATGGCAAACGCACCGAGGAGGCGTGGCTCCAACACCTTTCGCATCATAAATACCTGTTACAAATAGGATCAATCATCCTGGGGCAATTTCCATTGAACAATACAGTGCGGAAACACCACAGTAGGCTACATAGGTACGAGTAGCACCATATCCAACCTGAAGGGTCGTACTGACCGCGAGTCTAACATAAGATGGCACCAGCATCACTGACTCGGAACATCGTGATCTTTGGAGAAACAGGAGCAGGAAAAAGCTCCGTCATCAACTTGATGGCTGGCCAACAGATTGCGAGCATACTATCACCTGACTCTTACCGCTGCACTCTGCATTGGACGGAGTACCGAATAACCTTCGAAAATGGGACTCAATACCAGGTGTTTGATACGGTCGGCCTCGAAGAGCCCCGTTTACAAACTGGAGAGTACCTCTCCGCAGTTACAAATGCATATGGCCTCATCAACACTTTGAAAGAACGTGGAGGTGTCAACCTCTTGCTCTTCTGCATACGTGGAGGAAGAGTTACGGCAACCATGCAGTGTAACTATAGGTTGTTCTTCGAATTTTTCTGTGAAGAAAAAGTCCCGCTCGCGCTAGTCGTCACAAATCTGGAAAGAGAGACAAGGATGGAAGACTGGTACATGCGGAATGGGCATTACTTGGAGAAGTATAACATCAGGTCCGCGGGACACGCATGCATCACTGCAGCAAATCTTCTGGACGGGAGGCATAGAGACAAGTATGAGATGTCACGTGGAATACTCCGTGGAGTGGTTGAGGTTCATTGCAATGCATCCATGGAAGGGTGGACCGGTGGACAAGGATGGCTTGCTTCGTTCATCAAAAAGCTCGTGGAATTTGTCGTTGGACGTCCCAAAAAGAGGGATATCATTGGGATCCTCACGAAACGATGTGGAATGTCTAAGGAGGTGGCTTGGCAGGTAGTGCGGCAAATTGCAGACGAAAATCAATCGTAGGATGATTTCGGACTCATCAGTAACTTCACCGATTCCTTATATATTTAGCCTTCTTTTTACTCAACCGCCCTTGATTTAACAAGGTTTTCGAGCCGACTTACAGCTGGATCTGATTCAATTGTTCCCTTCACCTTACTTGTGGAGCTGGACAAACAAACAGTGGTGCGCTCAGTACTACATAGTACTCATTAATCATTAATCATCTATGTCAAATCTATGTATGTACAAACATCTGCAAATGTTCTGGTGTGTAAGGCCGTGTATATTGAGAAGTTCCAGCGTGTTTTGGCAGTGTCCAGGCGCTCAAGACCGTGTATAGCGAGAACAGCATGTTTTGACTCCAGATATTACAAAGGGAGGGTAGGCCGCTGAGCAAGTGTGAATAATACAGCGAGAAAGACGAGAACCTAATACAGCCTGAGTGATCGGGTATGGGTGTGAATAATGCAGGCTGGCAGCAAGCGAACGACACGGGCGCATCATGATAATGAGTCCAAACTTTGATGGGCCTAGTAGGATTGTGCTAGTTCTTGTGATTGCATTGGCCTTGTCAGCTGGTCGAATATACATCACACCATACCTTGTAGAGTCTGGAATATTAATGACCGTAGGCCGAAGCTACACTCCAATTAGGAGCCTTGTGCTCGATATTGACTGCATATTGGGATATCAAACGAAGACCATCAGCTCAAAGGGAACAAACATAATACATACAGCAGTACTAGTAAGGTTGGCCAACGAAGCTCGGTGTGCGATTGATAGAACTTCATGCAGCGTGTTGCATTCAAATTTTATGCCGAGTAAATATATACAAATACGTTGTGTCCAAATCAAGAAGTGAACGTTGCCAAATTTTTATGCAAAACATTAATTCTGTGAAGCTCCTCGACCATAATTTTCACTTTTCGGTGGAAAAGCATCCCTCACAATTCTTATTTAGATCAACACTGCGCCACTAGATTGTTTGAAACTGGAGACAAATGATGTGAAACGAGAGCATGAAGCGAGAAAGTGAAACGAGCAGAACAAAGATCCTTTTGGATAACGGCGTCAGCGACTGGTGGCCTTGGATAAGCGAAGCCCAACCCAGAGCTTCTAGCAGAGCGTCGCGAGGCGGACCACGTTTATAGCACCCGCTGCAGTCATCCATGTCTTAGGATAAGGATCTGTCAGCTAAGGCAAAAGGAACGCCGAGTGGCGGCGATGGCAGCGGTTTCGAACTTGCGAAAGTTCTCAATCAAGGACTACCGCTACCCCAACCAGGCCGACCTTCTCGTTCAGTTTAGGACTGACACTAGACTGAGCCTATAAGTATACCTAATTGGTGTACAGGACCAGTCGCACGACTGCAACCGCAAGCTAGTGAGGGGTAGGAACTTCTTCAGACGTCGAGTCTCGTGGCATTTAGCACTCACCGAGGACCCGGCTGCCTGTTTCGGTCATTTCTGAACCGAAAAAAGATTTGGGCATCTCCGAGTCCGTGCAGATATGCTACTAAAGGCTACTAAGTACTGGTACGGGCTTGTTCTTCTTTGCTTTTTTTCACTTTCGGTTGTTGTCTTCATTCTTAGGTCCCAATGTGGTCAAATATCGAGCACAAGGCTTCCAATTGGGGAATGTAGCTCCGAAGACCCACTTCGGCGGACATGAACTTTATCTCTACAAGATATGGTTGTCTCCCCATCCCAATACAGTATAGTGACATAGGACAACCCTCTCATCAACTACGCCGCTGCTAATGTAGACCCGGGTCTGTAGATCCAGATAGGAATAGGCGGTCACCCTGTAAGTTCAAATAAGTATTATTTTTTTCGCCGAATCTTCTTCGCGAGATGCCGCTTGAAAATGACTACTTATTCGTGGACTTCATATCTCATACTATCAACAGTCAGCCTAAACGTCTACAATCATTCAAATCATGGTCGCTTCATATCGAGGTCATGTCAATTACCCTCCCCTCGATGGATCTCTGTCCCTCCCTCAATTGGTTGAATTCAATGCGCAACATAACTCGGACGTCACTTTCTTTGTCTACGACAAACCCGACAGCAATGACCTGGTCTCTATCTCTCATTCAGACCTCTATCGAGCTTGTCATCGGGCCGCCCAGGCAATTAGACCAGCCTCCGCAGGCGCAGACAAAGAAGTAGTCGCCCTCATCGCGAACTCCGACACCCTTCTTTACCAGACAGTATTCATGGGCATAATCTTCGCTGGGCTGGTTGTGTGTACATAGATTTTCTGAATGATTGGGTTTCTAATTACTGTTTTCAAGCCATTCCCTATGTCCCCTCGTAATTCAGCGGCGGCAGTCACGAGCATGATGCAGAAAACAAGATGCCGTCGTTTGATCATCACTCGGCACTCTCTCGCTTCCCTAATCGACGGAGTCGAAGCGGGTCTGCTATCTGCCACTGAAACGAGCCAGCTGCAGATTGACGAGATTCCAGCGCTGAAATACCTGTACCCATCACTCGTTAGTGGTATTCCCAACGAGGCTAGTGACCCGTACCCTTCCCTAGGTCCGCCGTCGTCTGAGAACGATGTATTATTCTACCTGCACTCCTCTGGCAGCACTGGCTTCCCGAAACCTATTCCAATAAGTAACTTGACTTCCATCCACTGGTGCCTAACGCGTGAGTCACTAAAATAATCCGCACAGCGAACAATGCTAAGATAGGGTACGGTTAGCATCTATCTACGACCTGACTAACCATCCCACTCCTATTCTCCTCGGTGCTGCGTCCTTGCCATCATTTCATACCTTTGGTATATATTTTCAGCTGCTCGCCCCTATCGCCGCCCTGAGCAGTGTGTCTATTTACCCGCCTACATCCTTGCTCGATCCCTTGGCGACTCCTATAGTACCCAACTCGCAAAACATCCTGGACTCTGTACTCAAGACGAAATCGAACACTTTGCTAGTTGTGCCTGCCTTTCTGGAACAGTGGGCATTTTCGCCGACTGCCGTCGATGTTCTGAAGACTCTCGAATATGTTGTAAGTTTGTTATCGATGCTGTCACAATGAATGACTTGCGTTGATACCAATGCAGATCTATGGTGGCGGTCCT